CCCACGCCCTGTCCTATTCATCCGACATAAACGAGTTCTGCGACTTCAGCTCCTCCAGCCTCGTGATCTGCTGCCGCAAGTACATCACCCTGAAAAACAAATTACTATTACTACCTGTTCACCTGTTCCCGATAAATGCGAAGATTTAAATCGATGGACGGTTGTCTGTTAGAAGATATATCCAGAATGGCTCAATGGATCTTGATGAAATTATGCATAGAATTAATATATTATGGAAGACCACATGAGCTACCTTACAAGTTTGTTTCAATATGCAGAAATGGGGTCTTGGGCATAAACTAGTACATTATACAAACTTTATTCTATTTACATCATAAAGTCTTCATGTCCCGACTTATGCAGATAATAACTATAGACAAATGTACTGAAATACCTTGCCTGCCTTAAACTGAAGAATGTTATACAAAATAATTTAACGTTCTTCCGTTGGAGAAAAACATCGCTGCACATATCGAGATTGAAAGGTATGTGTGAAGTGACGGTATAGTGTCAATGTATGGAGGTTACTTTTGTTCCTGCAGCGTGGCTTGTATCTCAGTGTGCCGCACGAGGGAACGCGCACACTTCAGCTCCGCGGAGACTCGCGTGCACTGCAAGCACCCCAGCTGGTACGCCTCCTCGGTGAACTTGTTCGCCTAACACATTACATCATTTACAATCTATTCAGCAATAAACAAAGTAACATTTTGTCGATTCTACTAGCGACATCGCTAATCGAAAGTCACTCTGTCTAGGGGGCAGCTACGCTATAGTTTGTCAATAAAGTTTTTATATTAAATCTAAAAAAACTGGTTGCTAAATGAAGCTTTCTACTCAATTCAATTTATTGCACGTCTGAAAGGGTTTATCTTTGTATAAATTAATTACAATAAAAAAAAATTTGATTAGTTTGACAATCTAGTAGGGATGGGTTATATAAATCCGGCATGAATCTATTCGATTTTCATTTTTATAGAAGTTTGAATCGATCGGTTCATAGTTAATTTACTAGCTACAAACAGCTATCATACTAATATGTTAAACGCAAAAGTTTAGACGGATGGAAGGGTGTTTATTAGAGTTTGTAGCCTAACCGGCTGAATGGATGTCGAGTAATTTGTTTATTTATTTAACCAAAACATACCATTATAATTTATTAAAGGAAGTTTGAGAGTATCCCCATTAGTAGAGAAGGTAAGGAGTAAAAGATTATCATGGTATGGGCATGTTATGAGGAGGGATGAATAGCATGTTACAAGGAGACCATTAGTTATGTGTTTGTACACTGGTAGAGGTAGACTTAAAAGGGGATGGATGAATTGGGTGAAAGGTGAAATTATCAAAAAAGGGACTAGGAGGGAGATGATGATACTAATATAATTTAGGTCTTTATTGACATTTAAATATTCATTAAAATGTTAAAATCTGTCACAATGTAAGTAGGTTTTTCTGTATTAGGATATACAATTATACCTGTTTCTCCAGTATATCCGCGGGCCACCCAGCGACGTGCCCGGTGAGGTCTGTACGCACGTAGTTCATGAGCGAAGGGGTCAGCATGGGCACGGCGTGCTGCAGAGGACCTCCCACCACCGACGAGTAGCTACCCAGGCACTCCACTGTCACATCATACATTATGTTAATATTATCAACATCCATACATACATAGCCGCAATACGATAGATTACGAAACACGTCGACATAGATATTGCTCATTTTAGTTTTTTCTCAATAATAAAAGCTTTAGCAACAAAAGGCACTGACTTTTTCTAGGCAGCGCTGCATCTAGATGCAAAGGGGGCGCGTGGGGGTCCGTGTTCTCAGAGTGCGTCGGGGTGGG